GGGGTTGGAGGCTGGCTAGGGCAGATCGGGGGGGGAGCTGATGGGAAGCTAAGCTGGGCAGTGGGGAGAAGGGATCAGGTGGAGCAGGGCTGACCAGGGGAGCTCAGGAGGAGAAGGGGAGAACTGGTCACCGGAAGCAGAGCTGGCGGGGAGTACAGTGGGGCTTGCCGGGGAAGATCAACCAGCCGGCGGGAGATAGCGGCGGGGGGGGGGGGGGGGGGGGGGGGGGCTTTTGAAAAGCGATCTTCTGCCAGACACTTGGTTGTCTCCTTTCATGTCCAGCTCCCACAAAAGGGGCGACAAGGCTCGACATGGGGGTGGGGGAAAGGAGGCCAATGAATCTATTTTCCAGATTGCCAGGCACATGGTGGCAAAACTGAAGGGCTTCGCCTTTGTAGCTCTTTTCTTCCTCCGGCCTCCCTTTTTCTTTGCGGGCGAGTCGTGAAAGGGCGATGTTGGGGGTGTTTCTGACAAGCTCATTAGTAGAGGGGTGGTCAGCCCCCCCCCTCCCTCGCCGCCCTTTCCCTCTCCCCGGAGCCTTTGATGAAGTTAGAATAAAATACTGAAGCGACTGAACTGTGTTCGGATCCGCTGTAAGGAAGGAGGTGGTTGTTTTTTAAATCATGTGGCAGCCACAGGGAGAAAAGAGAGAATTGGTTTAGAAGTGGGTTTGATTTAAAAGTAGTGAGCGATTAAAAAAAAAACACTTGAGGAGAAGGAAGGAGAAAATTGTGGAAAGGAACTAAAGCGAACCTAGCACGTAGTGGTGGGTAGAAAATAGCTCGAAATCCGGTCCATCGGGCGTGTGTCGTTTAGGACCCGAGCGGATGGTTTGCAGAGTTAAAACACGGAGCACTGCATATAAGACAGATGTTGCTGCTCTCCACCAGGGATCGGGGATTTCCCCTGTCATGGCAAATCTCTCCCCCGACGGCAGGTAGAGAGGGATTTGTTGCATCTTGCTGAACAGTCACTATCCAACCCCAACTTCGAGGTTTCGAGGTTCCCCTCCTGTCTCGTTGAATATAACAATGCTGGGCTCAAATATACCAGACCCCCCGCGCCCTACTTATGTTAGCTTGAAACAATCTTTGGTGGTTGGCATTTTGTTTTCGTTCGCCCATTCGTTCCCCCACCCCCTCCTTCAGATCAAGTGCGACTATATTTTGTTACAGCTGTGGTCTTGAATGAAACTTACCAGGACAAGGTAACCAATGTCTTCTTTGTTTTATTTTATTTTTTTTAATACGAGCCAAAATCCAACCTTCCTCATTTACTTGTCTCTGACATTGCAGCCTGCTACTGGGGAGGAAAGTTGATTTTGCTCTACAGTGCACTAGAGGCCTAACTATGAGCTGAGTATGTAGAAGCGAATATTTTATGATGTGTATGTCGGTTAATCCATCATGGATGCTGTAGGATTCCTTCATGTTGATATGTATGTGCGGGGGGTCCGACTCCTTTGCACCCCCGATTTTGTCTGGTGTAAGAGCCTTCGGTTTTGCCACGAATGAAGTCTAGGTTGTTTGCAGGAGAGCAATTAATAAGTCTTTCGCAGGGGGAGGGGGTGTCATACTTTTTCTGCGCTACCCCTAACTCCCCCCTCCCTGGAAAGCGATGATATATTTTCAAGGGGAGGGGGACTGACAGCGAGGGAGGAATCTAAATTAATCTTCGACCGGCTCAAGCGCTTCCCACCGCCAAATCTTGCCAAGGCGATGGGGTTAACAGCGAAACACGGAATAATGTTAACTGTGTCACTGTGTGTGTGTGTGTGGTCGGAGGGTGGGGGGGTGGTGGGGGGGGGGGGGGACGGTTTATAGGCACCGCGGATAATGGCCTGTAATTACGAGGCTGGGTGACTCTGTAGGTTTGAGCTTCACGGGGCATTATTTTTAAGCGTTCGTGGAGGATCGTTTTTCACGCCTCGCTGGCTAAAGGAAGGGGGTTGTTTGTCTGTTTGTTTGTTTATTGGGAAGGGGAGCGGTGCATTGGGAATAACCGGCCACCGAGCCATGTTGAACCCTGGAGTCTGTCTCAGGTCTCTCTTGCCAAAATTCTGCTCTGAATTTGTTCGGTTGTTTGCAAGCTGCAGTGGATTCTTTTAAAGAAAAAGAAAATCCTTATTCAACCTGGGAAAAATTGAAGTCTGAATCACACGCAGGGCCCGATCCGCTGGCCCTTCCTTGCTAGGGGAGTTCTTTGGTTTGAGTGTGTTTAGTGTTTGTGCCTGAATAACCGCAGAACCGATCCAAAATCTACCCTTTCTCGGTTCCTGGGGGCTCCTTTTTTTTTTGCAAAGGTTTCCTTGGTAGATTGTGAATGGGGTGGGGTTTTGTTCGGGAGGGGGGCTTTCCGGGGTGTCAGTGGAAGAGACAGGAACAGAAAAAGCAGCTGTTCGGAAGATGCTAACTCATCTGGCCGCTTCTAGTCGACGCGAGTTCGATTCAAGCTTCGCTTTCAAGGGCCCGAAGCATGTGACCAGTGTGGTTTTGAGACCGCTTCGCCCTTTTAGTCGTAACCTTTCCTCCTTCACATGACGAGGCAGAACAAACCTTCGGAGCAATATTCTTCTTTGCAAAAGGGCGGGACCTTCCGAGGTGACTTAGTGTGACTGAGCCAAGCAAAGTTGTCACACGTTTCCAAACATAGCTCGTGTGGAGGGAACCCCTTTTCATTGCTAGATTCCCCTCCCCCTCTTCCCAGTCATTGGCCTAAATCAAGTGATCTAGATTCTTGGGACAGAGGGGACCGCGCGTGTCAGTTTCGATCTCGCTCTTGAATCCCCACCGCGCATTCCCCTCGGAAACCTTGGCCACTGGGAACCACATTCAAAACTCTCCTAGCATCTTGCATGCATTTGGCAAGCTCTCGCCTGCATTATTGGGCTCAGAGGCCAGCAGGAGAGTTTCAGCTGATTTGGGGAATTAGGGGAGGTCAGAAGCCCTGTTCCTTTCTCCAGTAATGTTCTGTCTTTATGCTTAACCGGAGTGCTGAAAAATTATCTGGCTGGTGGAAAACACCCTGCCCCCCTTCCCAAATAAACCTGCTTTCCAGTGACTACCCCTTCCCCGCGTGGCCCTGGCCTCTTTACTTTGCTGTGACCGAGAAGAAACCCCCATTTTCAGGCTAGTTTGCATCTGAATTCCAGTAGCCAGTTTTTTCTTGTTCCTTTCTCTGACTTGTGAATGAAGACAAATCTTTGCACGAGAGTGGACTTTTCTCCCCCCCCCTCCCCCCAGGACTCAACGTTCCTCGCCCCCTTCGGTATAAAGTTACACAAATTAAATTATTTTCGGAGTTATTTCGAAATAAGTTATTTCGGAACAATTTCCAAGT